TGCTGGGCTGCTTACAGGCGGGATGCCAAGCGGGAAGAGCCCAGCTCACAGGAATTATTGCCTCCTTCCTGCATAAGGACCACAAAATGCTGCAGCCCCTTGCTTCCTGCTGGGGCAGGCTGGGGTATTCCTTCCTTCCCTGGATATTGGTTTCTAGGGGTGATCTCCCGTGCTGGTGTCGTGTGTCTGAGGGCTGTGCCATGTGGGATGCCTGCCTGGATTGCAGGCTGCCGCAGCTCTGCCCAACTATGTGGCAGCTCTTGTTTCTTCATGAATTTTTCAGCGTGATCCTCAGCACTTGGAAATGTGATTCCTTCAGTACTTTTGACTGCATATCATGCAGACCACATGGAATCTCCTGATGCACATCATTAAAAGATACGTTATCGAGGTATCCCTGTTGATGTGCTGTTTCCATTTCTTTGCTTTTCTCACGACTGTCTCATCCTGTTCTGCATACCTCCTGTGGCAGGAGGCAGTTTTTCATTGGAGAGCTGGAAGTGTTATCTGGCCAAATCTGCAGTGCTGTCCCATCAGGGGAAAAATATCTTCCTGATCCTTGCTGTTGATCAGCTTGTGTCCTGGAGCATGATAATTGCTCACTCCTGTTATTTTTAAACCTGACTAATGCAGCTACATATGTTGTTCTTCCTTATATAAACACGTAATCCTTTTTTAATCTTGCTCAAAAATTTGTCTCTATAATATCTTGTGGAAGAGAATTCTGCCAGCTGATTTATGGATAGCATTAGGAAAGGTCTCCTGACAGGCACCAACATTTGCTGCCTCTCGTATGGAGATGCCCCTCGGTTTTGTTATGTAACGGACTGCACAAGGGACTTACTTAATTTCCATTCTATTTGTTTTATACATCTCTAATCCCTTCTTGCTTTTATTTCGAAAATGAATAATCGGTCTTTAAAATATATCTTTGGTAAATCCTCCTCTTGTCTGCCTGCAATCAGTTTTCACTTCTGGAGTTCAGTTTTGTTCCGGTTTTGCTGCGGAGATGAGAAGATCAGAGAAGAACGGTGCATTAGTGTGAAAGCAGTGGCAGATTTACGTAATACCACTTCATTCTTATTGTGCTTTGTTTATCCTTCATACATCCCCACACAATTTTCATCGTCCTCTGCAGGAATCACCTCTTCAGTGTGCTTTCAGCTGGTGGATGGATTTTGGAGTGTCCCAAGCCACCACCTTGCCCTTTATATTACCACACAGGTGGACATGCAGTGGGTTCCATCTGCTTTCCTACCTCAGGAGTAGCCCAGAGCTTTTTCAGAGGTGCTGATAAATGGGTTCCTAAGCAAGCTTGTACCTCTTTGTTACACGTGTCTTTGTTCTGCAGGAGGTAGGAAGTAAGCTTCATCAGCATCACATTTGCTCCTAATCCTTGGAGCACCCTGCTAGCTGTGTGTGCCCATTTTATGATCTGGCACTCTTCCTCCACCTGTCAGAGCCTTGCAGCATCCCTGGCACCTGAGAGAATTTTCACTTGGCTCTATTTTTTTTTTTCTTGCTTGCTGCTTGTGAGCAACTTTAAGAAATGAGATGCTTCATAACGAGCAGCAGTTGGGAGGCAGTTCTGCTGTCGTCCAGAGCCATCAGAGTGTTATCTTTGTAACTCATCCAAACCTTCCCCTCTGAGAGGACAAGTCTTGCTGCTCTGGAAATGAAGTTGCCCACCTGCTGTTATTAATAATGCATTAGTGCTCCTCATCGGGAATCATTAATGTTCAAGACACATTGCAAGCTTCCAAAAGACAATGTGTTTGCCTCCAGAACTGCGCAGCGTAGGTAGCGGTGCTTGCAGCACGGGGTGTAGGGCATTCCTTAGCATCACCCATTTCACTCCGGCTCCCGTGCTTTTGAAAGTTCTGCTAATATAACGTTGCATTTTATCGATTGATAATTCCTATTATAGTTATCTTTATTTTCCGTTGGTTCCTGGGTGAATTAACCTTTGACTTCTGTAACGATGAAGAGATCCATTATTTATTATGCGTGGTCTGCTCTCTCTGAATTGGAGCACCAGTGCTTTTCTTCGGTGTCCCTTTTCCATCCCTCTTCCCCCAAACCCACAGCTCTGGGAGGGATTTGTTCTGAGCTTTGTCCTGTCAGATGACAACCATCACATCTCTTTCGTCGGGCATCTTTGCGTTGAGGTATAAGAACCAAGCAGCACTATTTGGTGTTGAAATAAGCATTTAAGACAAATATCTAGTCAGTAGGATAGGAAGTAAAGTGTTACTGCATTGTGTTTTAACAGTATGAGCTGTATGAATGTTGGCAGAAAGAAAAGAAAAATAAACTTAAGTTAGAACGTGCTTGTTACGGATTTGTTTTTCATCTCTGCATACCTTTCATAGCTGTAGTCAGCATTTAAAAGGATTTCCTTTGGCAAATGGAAGCCGAAAAGCTCTGCTCAGATCTGGCATGTGAATTACTCATGCTGCTCCCAGGTTGACCAGCTGTAAGCACTGCCAGCAAGGTGCAGAGAACAGGTATTCCAAGTGATGAGGCTCTCCACTAGGAGAGTCCACTCTTTGTTTGATGAGTTCTTATTATTAAGTATGTTCTTACCCTTTTTTTTTTTTTTTTAAAGTGCTCTGGATAGCCTTATTCAACCAGAGATAAGGAATAATCTCCTAAGGAATAGATGATGTTCAATTAAGCCCAGAACATGTTTCACTAATGTAAAAGCAATGCCAATTTAAAGTTGTGCGTGCACACAGAAATGAATCTTCACAGTCCCTCTCTGGGCGGGATTTGGAGTGATTCAATACCAATACTTTTTCACCCCCGCTGAATGGGGTCAGCTTTGTCTTATTTGTCCTTAAGGGGAGAAAACCATTTTATTTCGTGTTTGCAATCCGAGTAGCATAAGAGGTACTGGAATGAAGCCAGAGTCCACCAGATCTGAATCCCTGTAGCTGGATTTGTTACCTTTTGTGCTGAGAGGTCAGAATATATGAAAGTGCCTTTGAAAGTGCTTTACATCTTCTACTTGAATTCCAGCAATGGCCCCAAGAGAAGCACAAGAGCATCTATTGATTACAGGGTTTTTTCAAAGGCACTTTTCAATTCCAGGACCAAGAAAAGTGCAGGAACATGGGTAGGGTTTGAGTAGCATACTTAGCCAATAACACTTTCTCTTTTCTGACAGTGCCTTCTCTCCCAGCAGGCTAGGTTGGTTTTTGTTGTGGGAATTTTTATTTTAGGGGTTTTTTTGAGTGGTTTGGTCTTGTTTTTTTTTCCTGCAGGGGTATCTTGGTATCTTTTCTTTTACACTTTATTTTCTGTTTCAGTAGCAATAGCAGCTTTCATCCCTCAGGAGCCTGCTGGCTGGCAAGCCTCAGCAACTGAAGGGCAGCCTTAGATGTAGCAGTATGTCTAGATGCAAAAAACACATTCCTCCTTCCCTTGTCCCATGTGGCATCATCCCATAGGCCACATGGCATCCATATTCCTCTGAGCTGCCCGTGGGCTGTGGTGTGAGGGAGCTGGTTGTTCCCTACACAATATTTAGGAGAGGACGATCTGTGTGTGCTTGGTATCCAGCCAGCTTTAGGTATGGATAAGATTTTAGTAATATATCGCCCTCCAAATCCAGTGAAGCAGCGTTAAGGAGTGCAGGGAGATGGAGAACTCGTGCAACTTGTGCATCAGTCTCTATGGAGGGCACAGCTGTATGGTTTGGGGAAGGATTTGGTTATAGGTGTGGAAGAAGGGAAAACTGTAAAAGGACCACGTGTAACAGAATGAGGAAAGGCGGTGGGGGTTGAGGAAGGATGTGCGTGTTTAAAACAAAAAGGATTTATGTATGTATTTATTTATTTATTTACTGAAAGAAGTACTGAAAGCTTGGGGAGATCATGGCAAAAACAACTGGGAAATTGATTTGGAGCTGCTTGTAGATGAACCTGGACAAATGCTGGCTTTGCCATTTGGAACAACTTCGTCCTCCAGCAGCTCTGATGAGAACAGGGTTTTAGCCCTCTCCTTTGTATACCATCAATAAACCTCATTTTCTTCCTGAAGAGGTGAAAGCGATACAAGATTTTTCAGACTAAAAGATTGTAGATAATGTTTTCTTGTGTTGTGTTGGCCTAATTTGTACTAGTCTGTAAAATGAACAAGTTGGATGCTTCCATCTGGTCGAGTCACCTGCAGCCAATAAAACACTCTTGCTTTGTCGGTGTTTTCTGAGTAGGGAGGAACAGAAGACCTTGTCTGTCTCCAGTTTGCTGAGCTCTGTATTACAGCAGGCAGCTGTGGGCAACATCTGTCACCCGCCCCAAATGCAGCTGAAGGGTTTGCCTTACAAATTGTGTTCAAAAGTGGCTGTACTCGATTTCTAGCTCAGAGAAACATCGAGGATGGGATGAAGGGCTAGCCCCAGCTGGCTGTTGCTGTCACTAGACCTTTACAAGACTGGAGATCTGCTAGGTCAATCCACCCAAAGAAAATTCATTTTGAGCAAATTCTGTCAACTGGCCTTATAAGGTTCTTAACAAACATGGTTTCACTTGCATGCATTTGGTGTATCTCCTGACAGCAGCACTCTGTGAAGGAGCAGGATGGATTCAGCCAGAAAAATGCTGCTTAATCCTATGGACTTTAATATTTGCTTTGATCGTGCCAAAGAATGTATATGCATGCATGCTTGCAGCCCCTGGAAATATTTTGATAGGATATGTCTTTGCATGTTGCATAAAGTAATTCAGGGAGATACAGGAGCCTTTTGATCTTTTGTATAGTAGTTGTAATTCACTGAAACGCACCTGCAGCATGAGAAGTGCTAATTATTGCAATTTGAAGCTGTCACATACTGGAACTGTCATTAACAACGTAGTCCTGCCTTTCTTCCTGTCCGGAGGAATCCCAATACAGCACGTTCCCCACAATCAGCAGGAATTGCTGCCGAGTTCGGACTCAGTGACGGTGCACTGATTGATTTATGACTGGCATCTCACTTGTATGACTTCTCATTTCAGGGCTTCTTCAGTAAACGTCTGAAAGGGTCCATCAAGAGGACAAAGAGTCAGTCAAAGCTGGACAGGAACACAAGTTTCCGCCTCCCATCACTCCGCAATGCTGATGACAGGTAAGGGTCAGTGCATCTCCCAAAGCAACCCTGCCTTATCCAGAGGCACTTTGTGAAATCTACGTGCAGCGTGTATTTCAACTTGTAAAGGGAGAGAAAGGAAGGGTTGTGGTTTTTTTGTTAAGCTGGCAGATGGATGGTTTTGGAGCTGAATGGTATGTTAGAGGTTGTTTTTCTAATTTACTATACATTGTATCTATGGTCCTATGATGCATCATTGACGTAGGGCTGAAAACTTTTACTGCAGTTAACAGTTGACAAAAAAAAAAAAGTTTAGTTTAAGCATCTAGACTCAAATACTTCACCTGCATCTGTCCCAAATAAAGTGCAGACTTGAAATTTCATGATACAGTACCATCGGATTGATTGGCTCTAACAGAACCTTGCCTCAGTGCATGCAGCTGATCTGCAGATCAGTGCAGTGGCCAACGTGAGGATTGTGCTGGTGCAAGCAGATCAGTTCAGCTAGCACAGGCAGAGCCCAGGGATGTGCAGTGCAGTTCAGGTACATTAAAAGTCCTTGCTAATGTCAGGAGATGCTATAGCTGCTGCAGTGCGGAGTCCTGCAAGGAACAGATGGTCTGTTATGCAGAAAACTGGAAAACTCAGTAACTCCTGTCCATCTTGGTACATTCTGCTTGTTTTGCTTCTGTCTGCTGGTTCAGGCTTGAGTGAATTGTATGTGAGGCAAGCAAATGCTCATCTTACACGTTTTTTTCCTAACTACTTATAAAGTGTCCTGATTGTCTTCATTAAACGTTGCTGCGTGTAATATTCCACAGCAGCCCAGCAGGAGAACTAGAATGAGTGCAAAATAAGTTGCCCTGCACTTAACGCTGTGACAGGCTTCTCCGATTTTACACCGTTTAGTGCATTTTCCCTTCTTCTGTAGCTGAGCTGAATTCATTAGTTGCATCTGTCATGCTGTGCTGCTTCAATCAATGGCCCTATCTTCCCCAGCTGAAAGGCAGCACCATAAAATCATGGAGATAGCAAGGCTTTGGGTGTTAGGGGTCTTGTTAATTCCGTGAGTTACAGAACAGGCTGTTGTTGCTTTTCCGTCATGGCGACGTCCACCTCTTGTGTTTGAAGTCCGGTTTGTGGTGGGTGGTTTTTTGGTTTGTTGTATAACTGCCTATTTTCAGGGAGTTGCAACTTTGCTATAAAAAGCAACTTAGTGAACAAAAGCACATGAAATAATGCCACCCAGTGATAAAGTACCTGTTATTTTTACTGTTGTTGGCTTGATGTTTTGTAATGCAGAAATGTTTTTGCCATAAATGACGCATTTATCTTTCCCTCGCTTGGTTCTCACACTAAACATGGACTGATGATGCTTTCTGTTGTACTGTAAGGGAAATGCTATCACTTTGGGTAAGCCAATAAATTTAGCTATAATTAATACCTACAACTTTAAGAAATAAGCACAACAAACCTTCTCTTTCAAACAAGTTCACTCATTCCTCCTTGCTGTTGTGGACATGAGTTGTGTCACCTAGACCCCAACAACACGTGGCTTTTCTCTGGCTGTTTCAATAGAATAACATCACAGAATCACAGGTTGGAAGGGACCTCTGGAGGTCATGCCCTGCATGGTGATGGCGTTAGGCATAGTCAGTGCTGTCAAGTCTCTAGGTATGGATTTAACAAGGAGGAGCCAAGAGAACTGAGAAGTTCCAGTGGCAGAGTCCATGCACAATTTTGGGTGACAGAAAATTGGAATTGGAAAACCTCAGGATGTAGGAGAGGGACAAGCTAGGGGTTGCATTTTCCATCCTGCTGTGGTTCTGTCTGGCCTCTTACATTGAGCAGCATCCCAGTGCTGGAGATGGAAGTCCATCCGTGTTCTGGATGTTCAGTGCCTTGATACCATTACTTGCTACTAATGGAAGTAAGCATTTTTGATAATGAGTCCACACAGTCCTCCTCCTTTCAGAAGTACATGGGCTGAAGTGAAGGGAGTGCAGAGCTTGGAGGCAAAGGGGGTCATCAGAGAATTGCCAAGCTATGTAGAAAGCAAGCTGAGATGAAGTTTATTTGGAGATGAGCTTTGCACAAATGATGGTGGCTGTTCCACAGCATGTTTGTGTTTGTGATGCAGGTGAGGTTCATGAACTGCTGATAAGTTGTTCTTGGAAAATGCCACAGCACCACTCAACCTTGTGGCTTCCTGTGGTTGAAAAGATTGAGAGCCTTATGGAGTTCTCTTTGCATTTGTGGTCTAATCAGTGCACAAATGGAACATAGCAACTTTGGAAGAACGTGGCTGGAGCTTTTCTAATGTTATTTCTAATTTTGCAAATAAAATCTTCACAAATAAAGGAAAATTGTTTCCAAGTGAAACTTGGCAACGGTTTCTCCATTCCCTCATATACCTTTCACTGTGTTAGCTACAGGTGCCTGAAAAATGCAATTGGTGAACAGACCAGCAGGAAAAACAATTCAAAAACCCCCTAAGATGAGGAACAGATTGGTATACTGGGAAGAGATGAGCTGGAGGGAAGAAGGAAGCTAAAAAAGAGTGATTAACCTTTAGAATTATGCTCTTATTTGGGATCTTTTCAAAGGAACAAGTCAGCTACACCTGTGTGCCCATGAAAGAAGGTAGCACACAGCAGCTGGCTCTGAACTTGCAAGAGGGAACTGCCGTTTTCCCACCTCCTGCTCTGCTTGCTTTCTGTATGAGGCTTGATCTGTTGCTCTGCAAATGTCCCATAGCTGCCCCAGTGAGTCAGCCCTTTCCCACTTGGAGCCGGCAGTGCTGGGTGATGTCATGGTGCCGTGCTGGCTTTCAGGGCCAGATGGACTGATAGCATCTACCTTTTCTTGCTGTGACAAATACAGGCTTCAAAGAAATTATTATGTAGCTTTATAAATTAAAACGCTGAAAGGTTGGAAGGGAGTAGAGGCTGCTGGCATGTTGTTTTTCTCATTCTTTTGAGGTGTTTGAGTCCTGCTAAGAAGCAGGAGATGCTTAGAGATGAGTACCTGCAGCAAGCTGAAATAAGGAAGATTGTGGTGCACATTAAGGCTTGGGATAGTGTAACAGTGCACGCCACTCCAGATGGTGACAGAGGATGGACGCTGTCTGTTCAGAGTCAATTTAAAATAGATAGGATTCAGGAATGCTGTAAGGGAGTGCTGGAGATAACTTGCAGATATTTTCATAATCAGATTTGGCGTTCCAGCAGAAAGCAGTTGGCCAAGCTACTTTGTTTTTCTGGGTTTTAAACTTCAACTGGCTTAGTGGGGGGGAG